ATTTGTTTAGCTAGAAGGATTTGCCAAAAAACCGATGCCGGTAGCGACAAAAACTGCGGGGAACTAAGCAAAAAACGCATCTTCGCACGGGCAGCCCGTGCGTTGGCCAATTATTCGCAATGCGTAGTTGCAAAAAACGCATGACATGTCTGGTCCATCAGATTATTTTATTTTTAACATATTCATGAAGAAAAAATACTTTGTAAAATCAAAATAGTTCAAACCGGTATGTGTGCGAAAATGTGCCTTCAGATGCGAGCTCTTGGTGTAAAATTTGTTGCATGCTGGATGAGGACAAAAGTGTCGTCGCTTATCCGCTATCGCAAATGACTCGAATTTCACGAATGCTGCCAAATCCATCTTATCGGGTAGTTCTCCATATTCCTGTGCTATTCCTCACATTCCGATTCTTTTTCGCATGTGAAAAACAATCTTTTGAAAGATTTTTAAATACTTTAAGTCGATTTTAAATAGGTGAAAGTGAATAAAGTAAAGGAACACGCATAGAGGAATAACAATACCCACATAGGAAAGGAAAATTCACAATCATTAATGTAAACTGTGTATATACAACTTAACAAATTAACATACGTGTGTAGCAGGGAAGCTGGCATGAAGACGTTTGGTTCAGTAAGCTATGTTTCATTCTAGCACATAACTGGATCTCATCAGTATAACATTACGATAAAATCTGTATCCTTATCAAACATTTAATTTATACCACAAGATGTTAGACTGCTAAGACAAATTTAATTCTAAGCCAGAAAAGCTGAGCGATTTAGACAGGGGAAACCGCAAATCAGTCATCACAATCGCTAAAACACTACCAGGAGTCTTAAGGACGTAGTTTAAGTTCCAAAGCAAAGTTTTTAAAATTTGCCACGACTGAGTAAGCCTATCAATGTAGAACTCTCAGTTGTGCTTGGAGTAAAGCCATATGCTGGAAAAAAAGTACCTAACCTTGCAATTTTGTAAACTTCTCGATGTCAGCAGTAGCATTAATACTTTGCTTCCTTGGCAGTCGTTGATTTTGTGTGGCAACAATGACACTTATTTGACGCTGCTTTGGATCGAATGCTGGCTGCTTTTCATCGTGCTTCTCAAAACGAAAATTTTTCATTTTAATTTTCGAAAAAATCTTCACATTTTCTCACTGATCAAACTGTACCTCTGTATTAGCAGATAGGCACCAAATTTAGCTGTATCGTCGCGCATTCTCGCATAAATTGATATTTAGTAAATCAGAATTCATTCCCTCCCCTGTACTCTCTCTCTCTCGCTCTATGAGAAGCGAAGGCAGCCAGTTGTAACAAGTACGAAAAGCAGCCAACCGCTGATAAGATTGTCGATGGTTCCCTTTTTCGAGGGTTGCTACAAACAATCTAATAGAGGATTTCATTTCCTGATACAAGTCAGTATCAATTTAACGTCAAAACGAATAAAAGAATCGCAGAGAGACTGACTCTCTCATCGGCAGAATTGAGCGCTCGATCTGCAGCATGACAACAGCCCTAGTTCCGAAGAAAAAAAAAGCTTTTCATCTGTGCAAAACTAAATGAAAAAAAATGAGGCCAGATTTAAACGGCGCTAAGTAAATGCATTCTCAGCCATGACATTTTAGGCTCTAATCCTGGCTAATTTCGCCATTTACAGAAGACTAAGCTAAAAAAGATCCAATTTTCTGGGTTTTATTGATTTTGTACCCGAAAGGCCTCGCACACCCGCACTTGGTATAGAGGAATATCCTAATATATGGGGATATCCACGCTGACAGCCAGAACGACTCTGATTCTTGACGCACCGTAAAATGAATGAGTTGAAATTTACGCCTTTCACTTCTTGACCCATAATCTTGCATCAAAATACAGGCTACTGAAGTAAGTTAGACAAAACAGAACAAATCAGGCATCAAAAACTTTCAAGAGGGAGTAATTAATTTCTGGCATGTGCGCCCTTCTTTCTTAAAAGCCGAGTACGTCAATATTCACCAGCTTTTGCGCTCTGTAAAAATGCATAAAAATGACTATCACACCTCAGGTTCCAGCAAATTTTCAATGTTGAATTTATGTGAGCTTTGATTTGAAGAATTTATCGGAGCACTGAGTGTCTTCTTCAGTTGACTACCTGAAAAGCCATTTTCGAGCTGTTTGCGACAATGCATGAGGGCAAAAACTTCAAGCAACTTTTTTGGATCTTAAGCAAATTCACTTTTCTTATTCATTTCAATGATAATAAACAGCGGCGCATACCAAAGATGCCGGAGCGATCACGTATTTTGTGGACTTTCGCCCGGCGGACGTATGCTCTCTAAGGATTTTCACAGTTTTAAACTTTGGTCTGTGAAAAAATAGTCGATATGTTATTTAATTTTTAAACTGCGAAATTCTCCACTAAAAATTTCACGTACCGGTATTTGAGATGCAAGCATACGTGCAAGCTGAATTTGAAACTTTGGATGGTGAACACCTTTCCAAAATTTCAACCTGCTAATTCTCCGGCTGCTGAATGACCTTCGCGCCAAAAACTTCATGTAGTCGTACGCGAAACCTTGGCATACTTGGATCACCAAAAGGTGATTAAAAGCTCAAACTGAACTACATCGGTCATACATAGAATATCCCTGTAAAGTTTCAGTTCCCTAGAAATCGCTTACTGTTAAGGAAATCTTTAGCGTGTCTGAACTCGCGATACAGGTGATTGCCAAAGTTAACTTTACACCTTACTATATGGAGAACAAATGTTTTCTTAAAGTTAGAACGTTCTGATTCGCTTGGTTCCTGGACTAATATTTTGCCACAATTGCAAACTCTTAATTTTGACGAGCCTGTGGACGAGATATATGGTGCATCAAAGCGAAATTTGAAATTTTTAGCTCAAACGGGGACATAGGATATTCCTGTGGAATTTCAGCTCTTTATCCTGCCTAGTTCCTGAACTCTCTTACATATTTCTTTTAGACGTCTGTATGTATGACCCAAGCCTACACGAATGATAATATTAAAATGGGAGATTCGCAAACAGGGAGAGCACAAGATCTCGAAATTTCAGCTTCTTATCTTCTTTAGTTTTCGAGCTGAAAGTGGGTGACAAAAATATGAACAAAAATACACATACGCACATACGTACACACACACACACACACATACACACACACAAACACACACAAAACACACACAGTATGCGTTTTTGCATTTGCATAAATGTGCAAAAATGTATAAAAACGAATGAAAATGGAATTTAATACGCAGATCGGATATATCATTTTTTTGTCTCCTTTTCCCGGCCACTCAAGAAGTCTTTACATTTTATTTATAATCGGAGCTAAACTTATATGAAATTGTAAGCTACATATCATGATCCTGATGATTTTACTGCGATAATCTAAGACTTACGTCCGAATGCAAATTCGTTGTGATTCGCAAGTTTCAAAAATGGAGCATCGTTTTGCTGTTGCTCAAGCACTGGATCTAAGCAATTCTGCGCTGAGGATTGCCCGCCATCAAGTACAGCCGGCGCTGATTGTAAAGCGGGTATGCCGCCAATGCTGCAAGCAAACATTGGGAGATTTTCCTGGGAACAGTAAAAAACCAGCGCAGTGGAAATCGTTCGCATTAGGCCTGACATATAACAAGGATAAGGAAGACGAAATTTCAGAAAAGTTATTATCTCTTAAAAATCATAAAAATACTTCTTTCATGACTCATACAACTGAAGCGCCTACCTTTGATAATGGCCGTCCGTAAATGCTGAAAGTGACGCTATTTGCAACATTCGTTCTTGATATTCTCGGTCTGAAGTGAAATTTCTTCAGCTGAAAGCGATAACGCAGCACAACAATTTCAACTAATACACTCTGATTAGCGAGTACTTGATAATATTAAAACGGAGCCAAAAGCAGGACCATTTATCGCAGTTCTCACTGCTTCCGAACAAACTACCTTCTGTCATGCGTGCTAACTCCTACATTTGTGGACAAGCAAAAACAGAGGAATGGGATATTAGACAAGTTAGAAAGCTGAAATTTTACGAGAACATATCTGTCCATGTATTTCCAAAACGTTTTACTTGAGTCTTCACGAAAGCCTAAGTCTCGCACATAGATACGGCAAATTTCAGAAAGTAAAACCGTTGACATGTTACAAAACCAAATTTTTACAAGGCCTCTCACCCTCCGGTTCTTTCTGCCGAGTGCGGAAGAAAACTAACAAGAGAATGAGTGCACATATCAAACTGTGAAGTATGAATTTTTTACTGTTAACGACATGTCACGGGAAAACGCTTGTTGGCGTCTGAGATCCTGGTGCGCGCCGCTAATTATTGTTTTTTATTAATTTTGTAAAAACACGTAAAAATTCAGAAGATGAAACAGAAGAAAAACATCAGAACACATAAGAGAATGTTGGTTAACTAACCGGATTGTGTCGCCAAGATGTTGTCTTTATCGCCATAAGGTGTTAATGATTCTCCGACACAATGTGACTTCATTGGCTAAAATAAACAAGAATGTCACCGAAATTAGCTGGTGGTACCACCGATGGCACTGATGTGCCAACACAATCAATCCAAGTACCGCGTTGCATCTACTTGTTTCCAAACTAAGTCCTCGGTTATCACTATTATCATTTCCTAGTAGATCATGTGAGTGCTACTTCTAACCCACTGGATATTATCTACTGAACAGCGGGAATCATCGACTGCAGATATGTTTATCGCCTGGCCCAATTCGTGATCCACTGAATGATATGCACAAAAAGTTGTCTGAGCTTTTAGAATGTAAAAAATAATACTCGATATGTAAAAATCCCATTAATCATGTATAATTCTTTTTTTCAGCCTACCTGGTGAGTTGTAACAGTGCATTCAGGCAAGTTCGGAAAAACGCATTCCTGGCTCCGGTTCCTGAAATTTTTTTGACTTAATTCTTTAGTAAACAGAATGAAAATCTGAAATTATATGAAGTTATTTTAATAGCGGCTATACATTTTTCTTATTTTCTCTCCCTCTCTACCATACTATACAATGTCGTTAAAATTATTGTTCTTATCTAGTACTGCTCCCTCTCCCCCCCCCCCCCCCC